TGAATTTTCTCTAACACTGGGAATTAACCTTTATCACTCATAACAATTAATAAGCGAGGGAAATTAATAACAATGCTTTATTGTATCCATACTTGACAAACTTGCAAATAATATTAATTTTATATTAATCGCTCAACCGCCTCGGGTTCTCCGCGATGATGCAAAAATAAATCGGCCTTGGTCTTGTTTATCGTTCATAGTTCAATGGTCGGGGATAAACAAAGGTATACTCTGTTTAGAAAAAACAGCTTCTGTAATTGCCATGATTTGAGTCCATTGACTATCGGAACAAGTAGATCCATTCAAACTATTAGAATTGCAGAAGTATTAACTTGGTTTGTGCGTAGCAATTAATGAATAGAAAAATTGCCATTCATCGTTATAGTTAAAGTAATCAAGAAATTTACTAATTGTTAATACGTTATCTCCAATGGATCACCTGCTTGCACGTAACTATGGACATTCTAATTCCACATACACCGTTTTGTGCTACATTACTACTTAGCCAACATGTTTGATGCTCTCAAATAAAAAATCAAATACCAACGATAGCGCAAAGGTCGTTGAGAAAATTTCCGTTATGTAGTACAAGAGCAGCTGATGTTGATTACACAACGGGAAAATTCCAAATGGGGATGGGATAACTGACTTGCAGAATAGTATCGTTTCTTATAATGGTTACATTTTTAACTAAATATTATTCTTCGTTTTGTCGCTTACTATTTCGACATGATACTATATTCATTGTAGAAATCAAGACAACCTATTTACTTTTCATTCGTACAACCAGAAAAAAGATATTTAAACGCTGCCTTTCTACTTCCCTGACTTAAGCATCTCATCATTCACAAATCAATCCACTCAGTTAATATCAAGAAAATGAATACTCTCAGCAACAAATTTTTGGGATTTTTCGTCGTTCTCGTTGTAACGCTCGCTACCTTGACGGCTTCGAACCCAATTCCAGAACTCGATAAAAGACATCCTGTCATGCATGTTCCAGCCCCGAATTCAGCAACAGTCGCTCTCAACTCTATACAAAATGTCAGCTGGTGGTGTAATGGATGTAGTTCAAAGGGTAAGTGTTGTAACTTTTGACAGAAATATTCTATTTTAATTCAAATAATAATCTTTTTTTTTTCCTTTTAGACAATGTAATAGTTAAAGTAAGAGACGGTAGGGCAACATACGTGCAAATAATTGTAAGTTGAATTACTTTGCTAATAAATTAAATGAGCGAGTTTTTATTAAGTAAGCATTTTTATTATACAGGGTAGAAATGCTAAGAGTGGCACGGCAATGTTTATCGTCGACCCAACATGGGCTACACTAGATTATGTGTACTTTGTTGAAGTGGATCACCAAACGGATATATCTATTGCTGCAGATAGTAAACCATTCACGGTGGTTGCGGCATAAGGATAAGGAAGTCGTAAATTCGATTTGCGCAATTTATCTCAACTTATGATTTACGTTTATTTGATCTTTGCGTTAAGACAATATACATATCATATTCAACGAGAAGTTAGATGCAAATTAATCAGTTAATTCATAATGCACGAAACTGTTTGATCAACACAGTTTTTTGTTCAAACTATTTATACAACTACCTCTTTGCAAGCAAGACGCGCAAATTTTCATTAAACGTTTATCTGAATAATATTCACCACATGCCTAGTGGACATAACATAATAATAAGTTGCAATTTAATAAATGTGATGCATAAATAAACAGCTTACCCGATTATAATAATATAAATCATACGTCTTTATCCGGTATTTGCAATCGGAGTCAATCAATTTGACATAACGTTGCACAATCTTTTTCAGATTGGCATCGCGAATGACAAGAGTAAAATCATTTATAAGCAACCATGCCATGTAGTAATTATCGTCAAGTTTGGCAAATCTCTTATTGAGTCGTTGCGATATTCAAACCATTTTGCATATCGGCTAAATTGACTGACATTATTATTGTGCTTGTGTGTTGGAAGCGAGTATAATCTGGCAAACTCACGAACAAGTGTTGGTGTACATTTTTCGCTGTTTCCAAGCAACATCAACGTTATTATGTAATTATTTAAAACAGTGTAACAGACATCGACAACTTGAGTTGGTTTATGTCGGTAATCTGTGAACAAGGGATCAGTTCAAGTTTATATTCACTTTCTAAGGAGGATTGGACAGTTGTCAATCGCTGGATTATTAACGAAAATTCCGAAATTTGCAAATGCAGCACCTATCTCGTTTTCTAAGTTATCATATCCATAGCACAAACTTTTTGATTTGATGTTGTAAGTCCAATATTAATATTAATATTAATATTAAAGTTTGCTTATAATTATTTAAGACGGATTTTTATTCTCGGATAAAAATTTCAAATTTTCTCTATTCTTCAATGCGCCCAGTTTCTAACGCTATATAGCGCGGCTGAAATGGCCTTTGCTAGTTCGGGCATAGAACTAACACTTTGATTTCAATAGTGTAATAAAGAGTATTTACGTTTATTGACACTTTGACAGTTTGGTTCAAAAAGTTTTGTTCGTTATACATAATGCACAATTTGCTTCTACGCTTTGTTAGTAAATATACAAGTTTAATTACTGCCGCGGTTCACTCTTTTGTATAAATAGTAAATTTTAACAAATATTGTCAACACGACGAAACAAAAAGCCAAAATTTTCCCCCAAAAAACTAGAATGCATCTCAAGTCATTGACATCCAAATCCATGAAATTTGTTTTCGATTTATTATCTATAAAATATTACCTTGACTGGGTTACAAAACTTTTTGACTTGTTCGCTGGTTGTTTTATTGTGTATTTTTTTGTATTTGGAACTATACGAACAAATAGTAAATTAAATCTCACAGAACAATAAATTACGCCTATTTTTCATGGTCAGCTTTTTGAAACTACATAATTTCTGTTTTATTACTGATCGGGATGTTATTCATATCTTTAATGTTCTTATTATGCCATGAGTTTTCTATTGGAGAATATTAACGAGAAATCAAAAATATTTACAAGGAGAGCTTCTGTCTTTTGACAGCAGCAATTGCGCATGTTTACTTCATGTACTGTATGAAATGCAATGGATTATCCGAGATCTAATCATTACATAAATATTAACGTAGCCTTACAGCCGTTCGTTGTGGAAAGTCCGTAAATAGATATTAGAGATACTAATGTATAAGCGCCAGTTAGAGCGAATGGTATTAATAGAGTCAAATCATTTTGTCTGCTCATAAACAAAGTGATAACACAATATTAGGGATGTATTCCGTTATTGCCGTCTAGTAATTTATTTAAGGGCACTGTGTTAATGTTTTAATCCGGTGCCTCAGAACACCGCAAATTCATCTATATTTAGTTATAATTCAATGTTTGTATAAAAATAGAGCGGGCAATTCTTCATTTGTATTGTTTGCATTGCTAAACCAAATTCGGAATCACGCAATTAAAAATTGGTAGTACAGATCATTCATGCAAATTCAGAGAGCCAAATACAGTAAAGACATTTGAGGGGATTGGAAACGTTTTAGTACGCCAATTACCATCATACATTGCTCCTCCCAACTAGGAATGTCAGCTTTTCCAATAATCGAAGCAATTCTATAATTAGCTCGCACTACAAAATTTCGGAATAAAGTAACTCGTATGCATGTCAATTACGGGTAATGATGATCGATAGTCACTGCAGAAAATTCAGAAGATCTGCTAAACTTTTGGCAATGAAACTTTATCCGTAGTATTGTTAACGTTTGTGGTCCGTCAATGTTGATAGTATAATTCCTTTTAACTTACGATTACTCCTGGACTATAGCACTAATGCGTAATTACTAATTGACGGAAACAAAAGCGCTTATTGTATCCATACTTTAAACTTGCAATAGTGTTATTTTAATTTCATTGCGCAACTGTAATTTTGCTCGTAACATTACAATGCAAAAATAAATCGATCTCGAATTGGTTAATTCGTGTACGCCATCACGTTTTTTAATTTACATGGATGGACAAGGTTTACTATGTTTAGAAAACAACGTTTTCACAAGTAGCCTTGACATGAATTTGTTAGTTACGGAATAAAAGCAATTTAATCTATGATTAGAACCCAGGGGCACTAATAAATCTTGCAGGTAGCGATCTATTGTATTGGTGGATAGGGGAGTTCCGTTACTAGCGACGTCAGTCTAAATAAATGGGGCGATTACAGCTCAAATACAATTGTTGTATGATCAAATCTTGCAAATTAGTTATTTATTCGATCGTCAATACAGTAATTTATTTACATTGTTTCCAATTTAAACAATAAGAATTTCCTATTGTAAGCAATCGAAACGGAAATTACTTTAACAATTTAATTCAATTGCACAAACCATTTCTGTGTTTGTTAATGCATGCAAGGCAGTTGTGCCACATTACGACTACAAGCCGATGTTAAATATAGATACAAGGAGTTCCGACAATGACTTTCGAGCTTTGATATGATACTCTCGAAATAATGAACAGGGAATTTTACAGAGAAAAGAATTAAATGCTAATAACGTAAACAGTCGCATCGACTTTAATCAACATAAGACTTTCTACAAGATATCAAATGTGATGATCCAACAGACAAACTACGCATGCCGAGAAATTAATTTCACAAAGTTTGTAGTACTATGCATAACTTTAGCCCAAGGCGATCAGTCCTAATTTCGAATGTTGGAAAATCGTATGTTGATCCTTTTCATAAAATTGATCCAAAAATAGAACACATTAGTTTGTCTGTTTTTTGTCTAATAACAAATTGATCGTATAAAGTGCTTGTTATATCCATGAATACGTAGAATACACATACCGCATTCCTCTCCCCTGCATTGTGCTAATTGCTCCTGCTGATGAACACGAGATCTGCTGACTTTGAAACAATGGAATATTATGACAGACACTTGTCTCTAAAAATAGGCAAAAATTACTAATGATTTACTAATAATAGATATTCTTTGCCTTGTCACGTCAAAGGCGCTCTTTAGCTATGCGACTTTAGTTAACAATTTGACGATAAATATAACATTCGTACAACTAGAAAAACGTATTTAAACGTTGCTTTGCTACCTCTCTGACTTTCAACGAAGCAGACTCGTTAACTTGTCAATTCATAACTTGTTATATCAAGCTTCTCATCGATCACATATCAATCCACTCAGTTAATATCAAGAAAAATGAATCCTCTCAGCAACAAGTTTTTGGGACTTTTCGTCATTCTCGTTGTAATGCTCGCTACCTTGACGGCTTCCAGCCCAATTCCAGAACTCGATAAAAGGACTCCCGTTCTTCACGTTTCAGCTCCGGGTCCAGGTCGCCGTGCCATTAAATCTATACAAAATGTCAGCTGGTGGTGTAATGAATGTAGTTCAACGGGTAAGTGTTGTAACTTTTGGACAGAAATTTTTTATTTGCAACCCGAATAATAATCAAATATTTTTTCCTCCTTGCAGACAAAGTCATTATTAAAGTAAAAGACGCCCGCGGCACATTCGTGACATTAACTGTAAGTTGAATTATTTTGCTATAAAATAAAATTTGATGACTGCAGACTGGAAAATTTTTACTAAATTGTGTGTATTTTCTATTATAAAGGGTCATAACGCTAATTCTGGCACGAAAGACTTTGTCATCGACCCAAGTTGGGCTAGACCAGGGTTTACGTACTTTGTTGAAGTGTTCCTCAAAAAGAATCCGTCTATTAATGGAGTCAGTAACTCATTCGAGGTGTTCGCGACAAAGGGATAAAGAAATTTTGAATTTGATTTGCTAGTTTAATAGAGCACATCGTGCAATGTTAATGTATCCCAACTAATTATGTATTACGTTTATGTCAACATTAATCTCTGCATAAATAAATCAATAAACTTTAAACAAAGTTCAATGACACAAGCGTGTATAATTAATTGAATTAGTCACTGTCAATATGAGCTATTTTTACTTTCCAGCAAATCAAAAAGTAAATTAGCAAACACATAGTAAACCTTGATAATTCGGTGATCGGGGTATGACGTTTACCTAAACCATAGTAAAATAATCCTGCAGACTCGCCGACTAGTCTTTACCAACCGCACAGAACCCGGTTCGATTGTAAGCAATTGTTTTATATAAATTTTTATAAAGGTTTAGTCTCTACACAATATGTTGGCGTTAATGCTTTACGATTATACATAATTCTTGTGATACAATGGATGATCAAAAGCATGTTAAGTAAAACACACGACTTCAGACATAAACATCTATACGTCTTATATAAGTTACGCTAAATAATAACAATCGTTTGACGCTGATTGAATAAATTATTGCAACCATCAATATAAGGGGTTGGTTAGCATGTCAATAATTTTTAATAACATGTCTTAACGATTGTTGAAATATACGCGTTTACTAGTATATATTTTTAATTCGATTGATTTTTGCAAAATATTTGCCAAATTCTTTCTTAAATAATGGTAAGTGTTTATGTTCAGTTGCTTTCTATCCTACGTGTGATAAGTACTGAAATATTCGGTTCGACTACTGATAATAAAAAGTTTCTTTAACACGAACGTAATCATTACGATTATCGCGATATCTCAATTTATCACGTGACAATACAATCTGTGCTATTTCTGTACTCTCGCCCGGGGAAAGCAAAAAAAGTTGTTGATTTACAACGCGAGCAAATTATGGCCGATTATCCTATATTAGTTATGGACAATGGAGCAAGCACAATAAAGGCTGGTTATGCCAAACAACCAGAAACATTGCAGTACGCATAAAGCTCTACATTCCTATAGACATAGTTTGTCAACATTGTCGCGCCAACACAATACCAACCCTTGTCCTTCTTGCTCCTTGGCTCTTTTCCATTTCGTCCCCCCCACACACTATAGCGTAATACCCAACTGTAAAGTAACACGGGGAAAGGGTGAGAAAACCACTTTTACTGGTGATCAGCTACATAAACTGAGCGATTACGCTGGACTATATTATCGTCTTCCATTCGAGAAAGTTGGTTGGAACATTTTCTCGTGTGAATAATGGTGGTTGATTTTATGTTGTTGAAAGAGTCGGCCGAAAATGATCGTATGTCTATTGACTTGGTGAATTGCAAAGGGTTATTTGACCAACTGGGAAGTGCAGAAGAGCTTGTGGGATAGGATTTTTAACAGAGATATTTTGAAGGTGAGTAATAATGTCCTTTACGTGTTTCCAGTTAGCGTGTTCGATTGTAATGACGTGATTTTCTTGCATTCGGGCTAGGTTGATCCAACCAGGACAAGTCTTTTGATTACGGAGCCTTGTTTTAATTTCCCTAATATTCAGCATTGTTATGATGAAATGATATTCGAAGCTTACGAGTTCTATGCCTGTTGCAGAGTGATAGGTAATGCTTAGCGAGCAATTATATCTTTTATTGACAATTGGGTTCATCAGTCAATTATGCCTTGATGTTTTTTGATTCTTGCACCCTCATGACTTATCATATGTATCCTTCTTCGTTCATAGCGCCTTATCTATGTGGATATAACAATATCTCTTCTCTTTTCCCCTCTCAGACGCCCTCAGTCACTGAACGTCCGGACTGTATCCTCGTTGTCGATTCGGGTTACTCGTTTACTCATATAGTGCCAATCGTAATGGGTCGTCCTATTCTAACTGCAGTCAGGCGTATCAACATTGGGGGGAAGTTACTGACAAATCATTTGAAAGAGGTTGTGTCCTTCAGGTAATATAATGCAAAGTGAATGTATATTGGACTGTTACATGAGTATTGATGTTTATTAGGCATTGGGATATGATGGATCAGACTTACGTAGTGAACGAGGTCAAAGAGACGTGCTGTTATGTCTCCAAGGACTTTCTTGGAGATTTGGAAACATGTCGAAGGAATCCGAAAGATAACCCAATTGTACAAGAATATGTATTGCCGGATTTTTCAAGGAATTCAAAGGGTTATGTTAGGGTGAGTATTTGAGTTTTGTGCCACCACTTACCAAACAATACGCAGACTAATATAGATTAAGGAATTCCTAAACCGCTTCTATATTTTGTTAATATGAATTTGTTGATAGGACAAGAAACGCAGTTCTCGCAGTACGAATGATGCGTACGAGGATCAAGTACTACGCATGAACAATGAACGTTTTACAATTCCGGAGCTGCTCTTTCATCCATCCAATATTGGGATGAATCAAGCAGGCATACCGGAAACCATTGTTGAATCAGTTAATCTTACACATGCAGGTACACTATGCTAGAAATTTTTGAACGGCCAGTAAAGATAAACAAGTGGCTAATTATGTCGCTCCGTGTTTTATTATTAATCGCTCGCACAAGCAGATCTGCACGGACTTTTTTACAGCAATATTGTCTTGGTTGGTGGGAATGCTTTATTCCCCGGATACAAGGAGAGAATGTAATGATTACCCGACGAGCATAAGTCATTTATTCGAGATTTCTGACACCTGCTAATTACAACACGAATTCTTCCGCTTGTTATTATTTCACACTCTCTAGCGAGCAAGATCTTCGTGTTTTAGCACCATCTGAATATGAAGTGCGGGTTGGTATGCCTGAAAAGTAAGTGAATGAAAGAAACAAGTAACGTTATTTATGGATAATCCAGTCGTGACAGTGAAACGATCCACATGTCTGATCCACTGATGTGTACTAATCACGCTTCCTCTCTATATCCTACCGTTAATGATGAAAAACTCATAGTCCAATAACGTATACATGGTATGGTGGCTCTAATTATGCAGATTCACCTGATCATCGGAATAAACTCGTGACACGAGCTGAATACATGGAACACGGTAGTAACATATGCCTCCAGAGATTTGGGATGAGCGAGGACGTCGATGGAATGCAAGAATAGCTACTCATTGAAATTTTGAGATTGATCATGGAAGAGGAATTGTAATCTAAATATGTAGATGGACAAACATGTGCAGAAGCATTATCAGAATAAAGAGTGAGAGGCAAAGAGTTGTCCGTTCATTACTCTCCGTCAACATCCACACACGCATAGTAGGAATAAAAAGTTATGAAAGCTGAGAAACACTAACAACTAATGTATTCATAAACATTATTGATAGAGTTGATCTGGCTTATCGTTTAGTACTACTACTGTTGTCGATATTACTATTAACCTCAACTTCAATAGAATCAGCGTTTTCCTGCAACTGAATGTCTTCTTCTTCATCGTCACTCAAAAACCACTCGGCCAACTCTCGTAAATCTCTCGCTTCTTTGGCTTGTCGTACCAGCGGAAGGAGATTTTCACAATGCTGAAGTTTTCTCGCTTTGCGCCTACGTACCTGAGTCAAAGTCAAATAAAAAAAAACATTCATGTTAGCAATACAATTTTAGACTGTAGTGACTGCGGGTATAGCGAAGAGTGAGAGATTGCGTACTTCTTACCCATTCTTTAGTCACTACGACTATTGCGGCTGCTACAACGGAAACCAATGCGTCGAGAAGTATCTCGTGCATCGTCTTCAGTGTGGGAGAACGTTGGCGAGGATTCAGCTATTCCAACAGCATGATAAGAATTAAGGATGCAGTCATCCCTGGCGACAGTATTCTGAATGATAATCACGTGATTGGAGCAGCGTTGCTATCACTATATATACTGAGCCTATAAAGTAGTAGAATTCGTATAAACTTACCCTTTCTGAGAAACAAACGCCGTATTTACGTCCAATTACGATGAGAATGTACATTCGTACAACGTTATCTTTTGATATTAATACAAACGTTTAAGAATGTTCGTACTCCATGCTATTAAGGCAGATAACAATAGGTTTATGCGATGACTCGTTAACGTTGAAAGCGATAAATGGTAATGAGTTTGCAACAATGGTTTGGACAAAGGCTCTAGAAGCAATTTTTTTTGTCTGGTTTGAGTAATGACACTGGAACAACAGCCATTTCTAAAATTAGCCAATTTCCCCAGAGTCGACTAACAATCATATTTGGCCTCTTTAGATACTAATACATTTTTTACTTCTGATTTTAAAGATACGCGCACAGAGTAAATATGGTTACTATGTAATCAAAATTTATTATTTAAGGATCTTTTAGAATGTTTTACATAGCAGATTTAAATTATACCGGTTTTAGTCTATTTGGCGGAATAAATTTATGGATTAGTCTTGAAAAAGCGCCTTTGTCTATTGCTTGATCAAATAAATTTGTAAAAAGACTTTTCTGTGTGATTCGTCATGTTGAATGTTGAGGGAAAAAGACGTTATGTCAGAATGGTCTATTACGTTGAAATAGTTTTATATCAGATTGATATCAAGTCCAAAGTTGTATTCTTTTTAATTTAATCTTTGCATGATGCTGTGTGAATTTTCCATGCAGAGTACATGTCGAGACTGACAGAAATTTACTTTTTGAAGGCGTATTTATATTGCTTTCTCTTGCGGGATTTATACATTCAAGCGCGTTTATCACCTGATCGACTTTGCCTATCGAGTATGTGAAGTTGTCTTTAGCTGGTTTAATACTAGAGAAAATGAAGACTTTTATTATAGTAGACTGGTTTGGATAAAGATTATTGTAAACAATGCAAAGTTACGAGCTTAGCTATATATGTCGCTCATTCTCTTTATATTATGCGATTTAGGAGAGGGTTTCATACACAATTTAACTTCCACGACAATTGACCCCTGAAATTTTTTAGGGTTGCAGTAATGTTTTCGTGAACAGCTGACGAACACCTGATAACCGAGAAACTGGATATCAGTGATACAGATGCTCGTGGGTGATCGATATCTTCTTTTCTCGCTTTTTTGAAAATATTACAATTTACTATCATCGTTTAACATTTGACTATGGTTCATACTGGAGAAAGCCAAGATAATACTCAACAAGTTCGTGTGGGCGTGTTAGGTACACCATCCCTACTTGTCTTGTCTAACAGCCAGTGCAACTACGTTGTTTAGTAATACATTCTTTTTGATCAACAACTAAGCTCTACAGGGTGCTTTTCTCGAACATGTAAACATTCTATCTCGTCTTCCCAATGTAACTGCGGTTCTCGTACGGAGAAAAGAACATTTGTCAACGATTGATGCATTAATAATACCAGGAGGTGAATCGACAACTATAGCTTTGGTGGCCGAGAGGTCTGGGCTGCTGAATTCATTAAAGGACTTTGTGCAAACTAAGCCTACATGGGGGACTTGTGCTGGGTTGATATTGCTAGCCAACGAAGTGAATAAAACAAAGAAGGGTGGGCAGAAGGTACTCGGCGGGTTAGATATTGCTGTCAACAGAAACCAATTTGGTAGCCAGGTAATATTGTAATTTTTGAGCGATTTCGAGTCGCTCTTAATGTATTAATCATACCTGTAATTTGTAGATTGATTCGTTTGAAGCTCGCTTGCACTTTGCCCACGTAACGACATCCGATACTGACCTCTTTCCGGCGGTATTCATACGTGCTCCAATCATCACTTCAATCAATTCACCAGATGTAACAGTATTGGCCAAGTTAGAGCATAGTGTTGGTCAAACCGATGCTTCAGCTGTCGTTGCCGTTCAGCAAGGTCATTTGCTAGGCACAGCATTCCATCCGGAGCTTACTGATGATGACCGCATACACAGATATTTTGTACAAATAGTGACCCAAATTTTGAACGAAAAACTATGACATATCAAAACTTAATAATTATACAACTTTTTACATTTATCTTCAGTATAGACGTATGTAGATATCCGGTCGATAGCTCGCACATCACTTTTATTATATTTATACCACTATTGTCAAGAATAGCAACAGATAAAAATGCTCTAATATACAATAATGCGATATAATCAATCCTCCGTGTCTCTTAATTAGTTATACAGCCCAGCATGCCACACACATAACCGTATCACAATATACAACCTATTACTTCTCATTCCCTCGCATTACGAGATGTCTACGTTCAGTTCACACAGCAGCTTCTCAATAGCGACGATGATTTCACCCAAGTCCGCTTTCTCCTCCAGTTGCTCAAAACTCCACGGTTGGAATATCGTCCCATAAGCCATATCTCTAACAGTTTCACTTGTCAAATCGATTGGTGATTGCGGCGGAGCTGGGGGAGGAGAATTAGACCAATAGAAGGATTTCATCTGGTCAGAATTGTTCTTTTCATAGTTGAGATACGTCTGTCCAGCTTTGACGAGATTGGCGTGTGAAGCGAGGATTAAATGTTGTTCATGGCGTGGAAGGTGGAGGAATTGGGTGACCATCTCCCCATCAATTATATAACTGGGTTCGCTTGCTGACGTATCGCTTATCGATGTTCGGAAGCGATGATAATCATTACCTATAGTTGAGAAAACAGTGTTATTATTAAATAATAAAATAATAATAATAATAATAATAATATGGTTTATGACAATCATGTGTGAATACCTAATAATGGAACTGTATTGTGCCATTTTTCTAATACGGACTGTAAGACGCTCAATAAATTAAATGCTTCTATATTTATGCGGGTAAACAAATATACGCTTCCTAACAGTGAACAACCAACAACTGTAGTTGGTTGGGTTTTAGTCGAAAGATCGTCGAATGCATCCCAACCAGGCTGATCACTACTTTCTGTCTCGGGTGAAATATTTTCGATCGATGATTGCAAGCCAATAACCACATCTTGCTCTTCCTTTTCATCCCTATCGGAACTAGAGGCTACAGGTACATAGTTCATATTATGCCCAATATAACCTGTTCGTAAGCGTGGTATAATTTCAGCAAGATGGAATGAGAATATTGTCCGCAGACACGGTTCGATATTTGGATCATCTTGAATGTATAAATGTAACTGTTAATAATTATGTATAATAATTCCAAAACCGCAATTAACATAATTGAAGTACCTTGATCATATAACGATCCAAATATATTTCCATTCTTGTCTGTGCCGATAGCAAGATTCTCATTTAACATGATAGAGTTGGTTGTCAATCTGGCCCAACGTTCACTAAAAATAAAATAATACAATTTATGAAAAATAATAACTCACTATATTTAGCTGAATTCATTTAAAATACCTTTTCAAAAATAAAAATTTCTCCTTGTCCTGTTTGAGTTCATAGAACGTCAACGATCCTCTTTGAGTGCCTATACATATTCGAGTATTACAGACGTTGATTGATACTATAGGCCATCGAAGTTCCATACTGTGCACGTTAATGAGACTGTATATGAATGTTTGTAAGGAAAAACCATGTGAGAATTCGTTCGAACCAAGCGTAAAAATGGAATTGGGTTGAGTAATTATGATCACCTTTGCTCCTCCAAGTCCAATTTAAGAAGGTTCAAAGTATTTCCTGCTGCTATTAAGAGGTATCTGTTTTCGCATGGAAAGTTATTTTAATACTCAATTCTTAGAGTCAATGATGCCAACTGTCTATACCAGCCACCCATACTTATACGCTACCTTATTACTTAACGTAATAACTGTTTGTACAATCACCCAACCTACCTATCGCTCATCGGGCAGATAACATATACTGCACCAGGGACTTCAATCTCCATCAACTTTTTCATTTCATATCTTTGATTTGGATTCTGTATTAAGAGACGGTTTAACAACATGATACGTAACAATCGATGTTTACAAAATTCGTGACATTATACCGATGCAATTTCTAGCTTTATGATTGTAAAAATCATAACCCGTCCTCCATAATTTTCATTTCCGCCATAAATTCCACTGCCAACACAGATCAAACGGAGATGTCGACGTTCTGTTGTCAAATTCCAACCTATAATACAAATTAACTATCTGAATTTGTCCCATGACCACAATACATTGAAACACGTCGTCTTACCAACAAGTGAATACACAGCTTCACGATTCTGTGGTCTGTCCGAATCTGAAAGCACGTGTTCATAGTTGATGGATCCACTAAAAACCAACCACGGTTAATTACATAATTGAGGACTCGTTGAACCGCATTGACGGGTAAAAAATTTTAAAACCTGAAAGGATCGACTAGCCGTATGATAGAGGTTGGAAATGGCGCACTCTCTAAAGTACAAGCTACGACAAACATGTTACTGACAGAGTCATAAAGAATCCGACGCGGTGTCTAAGGTATGGCAATAATTATTAATAAATAATCAAAAGACCAAGATTGAATTTCGTGACGTTATCAGCTTACATACATCACCAAGCTTAATTTTCCGAACTTTGGTTTTCTTCCGTCTAACCAGTTGGAGAAAATATAAGCAGTTATTAGCAACAAACATATATCCCTCCGCAATATCAGGATATTTGAACGGCGCTGCTTCTTGAACCTGTATATGGAAGATGTTTCCATTAGCATTCGATACTAAACGTGTCCACTTAAAACTTTCCTCTTTTTACACACATGTTCATAATTTTCCAATGCAATACAAGTATATCCAATATTCGAATGAGGCAGAATATCAATTTGCCAGGGACGATCAGACAATGCTACTATAAAAGCCGTTTTCGAAGGCCGTGAAACTAGTTTTACAGCAAGAGAGCCTATTCGACGAGTTCCGACATGAGAAAGCTCTGGTTTATCGTCTTCTGTTTAATTGAAATTAAAAATAGACGCACGATAACGCTTTATATCCGCCGTCAATAGTTGTTAAACATGTACCGTAGTCACAATTTCAGCAATTATGTACCTTCTGACCATCCAAACTGGTAGTGAACGATCGTTCCCTCGCGAAGACCTAGAAGTATTAACTAATTTAACATCAATTAACAGTCAAAACGATAAGATGAACAATATATAAGCTATACCTATAAGCAGATACGCTTTTTCTTCATTTGCGATAATACAAGCTGATTCTGGAACATTAATACCGGTCGAAGAGAAATCGTCTACAGTAGAAACCGACACATTAGACAGAAAATTATTGCTCTTTTTGATCGTAAGAGGACGTACTTACTTAATATCACCTCGTACACCAGTTCTAGTCTCGGTCTCAAGCAATATATCTTGATAGAGGGTTTATATGTGCCAACAATGAATATTGGTTCGCATGTAACGACGCTGTCCCGAAAATATTATACATAAGCACAAGAAATTCACTCGAAAAAAAAAGTCAACTGTTTACTAACCTTGAATCAAAACAAGTAATGAAACACAATTGAGTATCTAGTAAACATTCGTCCCTCTTATTTAACACTATACGGCCCCTGAGTATAGACGATGTAATAGTTATATTAAACAATGCCGAAAACATCAGTTGCAATATTCTCAACAAGAGACTTCAAAGTGAAACCCACGTCTTGTAATCAAACTCTACGGCAAACGTGTCAATTAAACTTCCATTTCTCGTAGACAGACTAACGAGAATGTAAGATCCACAAACGGTTGCTGCCTCTATCACTTCATCATTCGGTGGTGACCATCGAAGACCGTCAACGCGATTTGCTGATATATAGCGTATGTCAATATCTGTTGTCTGTATAAACTTCATAAGGAAATAAAGCCTTCAAAGGCTACGTTGGCTGCTTACTCGAATTATTTGTCCCTCGTAAAATTGGTTGTGTTATAATCACTCCATTGCGATGTATCTGTACCAAACAACCAGGTACAGCAGATATCGAAGAGACGCATAATGAAGAGACGTCTAAATTAAAGCCGCTAATATCGCTAATGTCATCTAATTCCCCATTGCCAAGATACATCAGTCTTGTCGAACTTGCAAACGACACCGCGAGGAAGGTATCATCGATATCGTCGGCCATATACTTTAAACTCCACAGAGCATTTGTCCTAAATAATTCCAATTTATTTTGTTCAGTGTCCGTTGTAACAATAATAAAAGAAAGCAGTGTGATCAAGTTACCCGTCGAATTCTGGCTCGGTCTGGGTGACAACATGAACCCCAATAACGCGTCTTAATTCACATATAGAGCCTTTATTTCCACGATTACTGCAGGAATATACAACATCGTTATTTTCGCGCTGAAAGTCCACTAATTGAAAATCCAGTATGGGTGCCCAATTGGGTATCTCAGAATTTACGACAATGCCAGTTGCGCCCGGAGTTACCTACAGCAGGTGATTATTAACACTCGCATTCATACAAATACGCCTACATTATACCGGCATTTCGCTTACAGTAACAACGGCTCCATCGCTCATTTCTCCAGATATGATAATAACATCTTTTCCATCAGTAGCCCTTGTAAATGTAGCCATAGCTGGTGCTATGGGGTTGAGTTCGTTCTCAGACAGCAGATTGAATTTTATTGATGTCCTGGACTCGATGTCAATACGATAGAGACTCCCATCCTCTAATCCTGCATAGAGATATGTTGATCTTTGCCTTTCATTATTGGATGAGATTGCAACGGCTGTCATTAGTGCTAATAAGATATAAAGGAGTCAATTGTTTCCGTACTTCTTTTTTACGCGAAAATTTCATTTGGTCATTGTTCGTTGTTAAGAACCTTCAGTATTAGGCAAGGATTCTCGGTAGAATTCAACATGCCCGACTGTCACTTGTTGAGCATTTAGAAAGCACACATCTTTTTCCTGATTAAAACAGTTGGATGAGTTGGCTTAATTTGATTGATAATAATGTATAACGGTTAACTGAATCCTACCGTGATCATTAGGAAGCATTCTGGGAAGTTTGGGAGGGCAATCAAATGTAACGGTAGTGGGCTATCTGAATAAGGCGAACACGTTAGCTACGATTCATATGATATCCTGTAATATAATCGTGCTCTTACCCTCAGCAAGCGTTAACGTTCCATAAGCAATTATGTCGCCCTGGGGGCCATCTCCGGCCCAAAACTGATATACTACAATCCGACTTTGCTTCTTCACGTCACTGTAACGACATCTAGGATCAATAGGAGAAATATAACAAAATGTCATAACCGCCAAAAGACTTACTTGAAAACCACCATAGCAAGAGCAACGCGATCAGGATCATCAGGATATAAGAACGTCATATGCCAAATTATACCCTCTTGCTGGTGCTCTTTAGTCTATGTTGGAAATATAATATTTAATAATTACAATGGGTATTATCAGTTGAACCTCTTTTAACAACTAACCTCTCTAACTGGATCAAAATTGCATCTCGATGAATCTTTTATGAACGACAGACAGAATGAATCTTGCCAAGCTGCCACGGCAATAACTCGAGAACTGATATATCTTCAGCATTATTCTTACAAAGACAATTAACGGCAACTACAATACTCATCAAAGAAAAATACTTACTATGGATCCACGCAAATCAGTCGACCCAATTGTCGATGGTCAAATCCAGGCTCAGACAATTTAATCTGTCAGAAATTCATAAGACTTACATATACGCGTCTTTCATCAATTATTAGTCACATGACCATCGCGTCACTCTACCTCTTTCAACGGATAAAATCTCCCATTTCTCCGTTCCGTTATATCACCAGAGCTCTGTAACGCCTTGCCTTTTCCCGTGTTGGCATCGGCTCGCACGATTTCATCTTCGGCGTATCCGACAAAGCTCAGCTTTCCAGAATCGGATAAAAATACAAGTACGTCTTGTCCGCGAATGGGAGGATGTGAAGCTATATCCATTGCATCGGGATCATTTTCATCTCGAAAATTACAGTGAAGAACTTTCATGTCCTTAATGGTACCGAACACCGGTTGTTCTATAATAGATATGAGAGATCCTTCAGCTGTTAATTCGACTAATTCTAAAGTGGTTTCCTACATTAATCAAAGAATTG